AGCGAAAGAGTCGGGAGCGATTCTATTATATTACACGCGCTTTAATACTTTATTGATACGTTTCGATTTATGGCGTCTAGTCTACGTTGGTATCGAATCTTATGACACCTGATTTTCACCTGTTGCTCATGTTCGAGAAAGGTAAATTAAAACAATGTAACGTCATGGAATTTTAATCATTTATTATAATTATTATTAATATTTAATGAGAATAAAATTCCCGATAAAAATAATCTTCAACTAATATTATAATGATATGTGCGATCGATATTATTACATGATCTATCACATATATCATGTTATGACCCTCTCCTCCCCCACTATTCGAAGATTACGATGACTGGGTATTACGACATTGGTGCGATTGATCGCCGCCACCGCTACCATCGCCTCTTCTAGGTCCCAGCGCACACCGTGGGGTATACCTGTGTAAGCGTTCTCCATAAAAATATAAAATACGTTCTGTCTTTGAACAACCATGGGCTGAGAACATCATCACCTCAGGTCCGTCTCAAGTTTTTATCAAAAAATGTACGCCGACCAAATGATGGGCTAAGCGCCAGCCATAGGCCCTCGACGGACGAGAAGTCGGCAATCATCAAAACAACATCACAATATACAGTGTGTAATCGGTTGTTGGAAACACTCTATAACTTAACAAATATTAATGATATTTGAATTATGTTTGTTTGTAGTGCTTAACAAAGTTTGTTATAACTTATTAAAGTGATTAAACAATTTTTATGCCATTTCATTTCGCGCATGCGCATAATAACTTTTTTTTTTTTAAATGGCAACCCCACTATTTTTTGGTTAGTTATTTTTACTCTTATTTTTTCATGAATTTTAGTGGTAAAACCAACTTCCTATGTTAAAAAATAGCTGAGTTATGGATATTTAAGAGATTGATATTATTTTTTGACATTTTTGAATTATTCATCAATTTTATGGCTTAAATAATTAATCCTTTTAGCACCGCATGATATCTTCTAGTGATATTTTTAGTACCTATTTTTGGAAAGCATCCTCCTTCCTTAAAGCAACTATTTTTTTTAAGTTTATCTCATGGGATTAAACAAAAAAAAAAACAATGTTAATTAATTTTATTTTTATTATTTCAAAATTATATTTATTCGTCATCTTATGAATTGTTCATAAGATGAACATGCACGGCGACTTCAGATGGGTCGAGCCTACACTCGACGGTCTGGTATGTGTAAGCGATACCTCCGAGGTAGGACGGGTGTACGAGGTCGATATCTCGTACCCCAAAGATCTGCACGAGTTACATAACGATCTTCCGTTCCTGCCTGAGAACAGTGTCCTGCCAGGCTCGAAATTATCGAAGCTGATGGCCACCCTGGGGTCTCGGAAGAACTACGTGGTACATTACCTAAACTTAAAACAGGCCGTGGCTAACAAACTGAAAGTGAACAAGGTAAATATTAATATAATATATAATATAATATAATATAATTATGTATAATAGTCTGTAAGTTATATTTTTTAGTGTATTATATTAATAAAATTGTACAGGTACACAGAGTGTTCGAGTTTCGGCAATCGGCCTGGTTGGCTCAGTATATAAATTTAAACACGGGAATGCGTCAGAAGGCTGTGAATGATTTTGAAAAAGATTTCTATAAGCTGATGAACAACAGCGTTTTCGGTTATTTAGTTTAATATATATATATAATATATATATTAATATATAAATTAATATATTAATATATTATATATAATATATAAATATACTAGCTGACCCGACAAACGTTGTTTTGTCATATAAATTATTTCTAGAGAATATTTTACTAGAAAAAATAACTAATTAAATATAGGCATGTAAGAATGTGGGTAAGGATAAGGATGTAAGGAAGAGATATGGAGTGCTATGAATGGTGACGAATTATAAAAATGAAAAAACATCAAACATTTATTTTTTTAATAATTTATTAAAATTGATCCATTAAAATTATACATATCGCTAATTATGACAATATTAGTAAAAAACAATAGCTATCCCTTAATGCAATAGAGTGGACAATATTTATTGTTATCCCATCTTTCGCCAACACAAACTGGATGGCTCGAGAGCACACCATGTATAATTAAAAATATGATGTGCTCAAATCTAAGCTACAGACATTGTTTGGCTTTGAAACTTATTGATAATCATATTATTATTATAAATTTAATTTAATATAAACTTATTGATAAATGATAATCATTGCAAATGCTAATCTAATAGGAAATTTAAGGCGTTTAAATTTTATTGGCACATCTGTGAGTATAATGGAGATTCGTGGTAATAATATATTTTCACCTCGGAATTTGCCATTTAAAATTATGGCTTCGATAACATTTTTCATTAATTTTTTAACAACTTATCGTGTGCCGTTGTACAACCGTGGTAAGTCAAATTATGAAGCAAAATAACCGGAGAACAAACCTTCAATTGTAAATTATGCGGTGGCATGCCTGGTAAATCCAATGAGTTTAAAAACTCTGTTAGATAATTTACAGCTTCAGTAGCATAGCAAACTATACCTATAGATTTGTATGACACCATGTCTCCTGGTAATAAATGTTTATCTTGAGATTCAATTCTTGACGTCCATATTTTTTACTACTAAAATTGCCCTTTCTGCCAGCCACTCATGATTTGTATATTGTTTGTGTACATTGGAAAATATCTAGTCAATGAGAGCATCTTGCGAATAAATGATTGTACAGAAATCGGTCGGTAATTTTATACATTCCGTTTCATCTGTAGTAACTTTCCCATCTCCAATATCTAACAATTGTTTTGAGAATCTTCTGCACGCAGTTTTTTTTGATTAAATCGCAAGTATCAAAATCGTTTGCTCACTATCTTTACATACATTTCGACCATGAATTGTTGACGAAGCTCATGATAACGTAGAATAATTTTTCGAACTAACATTCTTATTTGTTTTGACATCTGTTGCGGGATCTTTTTTTGTTTAATATTTATGCAATACCCGTCATTTACTACCAAAAATAAAATTAATAGTTTTTTTATAGTTTTATTTAATAATTCATTTCAATTGTGCAGTTATCGACCAGGTCAAAAATTATTAAATTAAACTATGATTTATTAAACAATAGCACTTTTCCAAAAAAAATTTTCGTAAAAACCTTCTCCTGGCAATTACAAACAATAAAAAAAAATTTGAGCTAAATCGGCCCAGCCGTTCTCAATTGATGAAATGTTATACATTTTTTGCTCCATTTATATATATATATATATATAGATTACTAATAACTAATTATTTATTAACTTTATTAGACTAAATTTACGCCTAAAACCTTCTCTGTATTGTCCTCTTTAATTTAAAAAAAAACTGCACGACGATCCAATAAGTAGTTTCAGAGTTTATCCCGAACAAAAAAAAGCGACTTCATTTTATATATATAATAAATATATTTTATATTATTTGTGTAATAATTAAATATGTAATATATTTTCTATATGTAAAACAATGGAATCCGTTCGTAAACGTATGCACATGGAGCTAGTGTCAAGCGATACACGGGTGCAAAAATTAATCAATAAGACGACGTGTAAAGATTGTAAATATTACGGGGATAATTTGGTGGCAATCACGCTGGAAAATAAAATAATAAAATTCGACAAGCTCATATACATCGAGTGTTTGCGGTATTGGAAGTCAGCAAGTCATTAAAGTATAATTATCATTATGACCTCGTGAAAAGACATTAGAATGCCGACGTAACACTAATGTATACCGATACAGATGACTTTAATGGCTATTTGAATACGTTACGTGTTTAATTCGAAAATATTGTATATTACAGGGGTGGCCACTAACCTTAACTTTGGGAGCCACAAATTTATAAAGCTAATTTGAGGTGAGCCACATTGTAAAGCGATGTTTTTGAAATGAAGACACATTGAAAAATGAACTCAAATTGAAGGAACGTTTATTTTTTACATTACATAAATCATTATTATTATTGACATAGTTATTAACATTATTATTGATTTGATAGAACGTTTATTTTTTGGTTGTGTTTATATGCAGGTACGGTACCTATACATAAAACGTTAAATGCAGGTACGGTACCTACGCATAAAATGTTGTTTGCAGGTACTGTACATTCGTATCGAAAATAAAATATAAAACTGAAAAAATACAGTCAATCGTTCTATGCTCGGTAATCATGGATATTGTATACAATAGGTACTTGAAGTACATACAGTTTGAACATACACGATTAGAGTGATCAATTCGATAAGTGAAAAAAGATAATATCATGTCTATTGTTATGTACATTTTATCACAATGAACAAAAAAAAAACCGTGAAGTTTATACGGCCCGTAGTATAAATATAAATTTCGAATGTACCCACAAGTTGAAAAGGTTAGGCACGCTTGGTATAAAACTTAATAAGAGTAATTGGCAGATTATTTCATCACATTAAGATTATCACTGTCTCGATAAGATGACGTGAGGATTTTCCACCACACCGATAATCAGTCTTGAATTAAACTCATCGCAATATTACCACATTGTAAAAACAGTAAAGTTAAAGTACAAAAGTATATTACATGAAACCAGTTGCTCGCAGACACTTGTATGCATTTTATTCTATGCTCCGTGATTCTCCGTGGTCCTTTCTGTGTTTAATTTTGTTTTTTTGTGTTCTATGCATAGTTATTTGTTCGGTTTTTTGCGTTTTTTTGTGTGAAGCGTGATTTTTTGAGTTCTTTCATTATCATGGATGATATTAAGAATGATATTAAAGTGGGCCAAATATTCAACAGTTATGAACAATTTTTTGAAACTTTTAAAACGTTTTGTGATGAGAATTACCAACCGTTAATTGTTACCAACAACAATAAGCGTCAAGTTACAATTCTTTGCCGACATGGTTACAACCGGCCTTCAAATAGTACAGGTAAAAGAACTAAACTACACTACAATTACATTGGGTGCAAAGCTAAAATTACCTGTTTCAAGCCTGCTAACTCTACTCGGGTCAAGATAACGAGTGTTAGTTTAGAACATAATCACGAAATAAGTAGGTCTGCGTTTGGAACGACTAGAATGAAACTCACTGGTGAACAGAAAGACGTGTTGACAGATCTTCACGACGCAAACTGTAAAGTCAGTCAGATCAGTCGTGTATTTCAAAGTAAATTTGACAAAAAACTTTCATCGCAAAAAATTCGAAATCTGCTTCAAAAGTTAGTTCCCAAATCGTCCGATGAATCGGAACTGCAGATGTTTTTGGAAGGAATTGAGGAAGCGGGAGGTGACGTAGTCAGTAAATTAGATGTTGATGGAAACGTTTCAGTGCTTTGTATTAGTTCAAATATTATGAAAAAATCTTTTGAAGCTTCATGCTCAACTGTCGTTCAAATTGACACATCGTTTGATTTTGACATGTCCAAATATAAATTGTGTGGCTTTTGTTATCTCAATCCTACTACCAATAAAAGTGAGATGTGTATGCTGGCGTTTCTATCTGAAGAGACCAGCAGTAATCTCCGCATAGCTTTTTCAGTTTTTAAAACGATATGCACTCAAAATACGAATATTTTCATAGTTGACAAAGATTTTAATGAAATTTCTGTTTTGAAGGAAGTGTTTGAAAAAGCAACCATTTTACTATGCACATTTCATGTAATAAAATATGTTAAAAATCTTGTAGCAACAGCACCCGTAGTGGTTGAAATTAAAAATGACATTATGAGTAAATTCAAAAATATGTTGTATGCTCAGAGTGAAAAGCTCTACGATGCAAAAACATGTGGGTTAAATGTTTTAGAAATAACCTTCCGACGTTAGGAGACAACACAAATAACAGAATTGAAAGATCTTTTTGGACATTAAAACAAAGTCTTCATACAAGGTTCTCTTCGCTTCCTGAAATTTCTCAAAGTATCGTTCATCTTGTATCGTTCTGCTCAGAAAGACTTACTGAATCCACTTCTACGGCAAATCTCAGATCGCTGAAAATACATGACAAAGACACTAACATCTGTAAATTGAATGCTGAAGCATCACTTGCCTTGAATGACCGTGGTTGTGTACTTTTTCATAAAAGCTTGAAAGCTTTACAAGACCGGAAAGAGTTTATGAAGTTGGATAGTGGAGGTGTACGAGAACGATATGAAGAGGATGAAGTCGTTTATAAATGTTCGAATACTGAATGTACCTGTACGTTCTATGCTAACAATCAGTCTCCATGCCGCCATATACTACTAATAAGAGAACAACAATGTGGGTCACTCTCAGCCGTTTTCGAATTGTCTCTGTTTCATAGTCGTTATCATCAACGAAGAAATGTAGAGCTTATAATACAGCTACGCGTAATTTAGATGAAATAGAAGATCAAGTACAACTAGATGAGATAGAAAATAGAGTATGTCTAGATGAGGAAGAAGTTCCGGTATTGAGTAACCGTCAAAAATACAATATGATGTTGCCTATCGCCCTCAGCATCACTAGCCTATCTGCTTGCCATGGAACAGACAAATTTCAAGCTTACCTTAAGGGTATGAAAGAAATTGAACGTATCATACGATCTGGTTCTGAAATTGAAAATTGTTCATTACTTGCAGCGAGCGCTTGTGCATCTATAGAAACTAAACCAAAGTCAACACTCGCAATCGAATTCGAGCCTCCAGTACAACAAACATTGAACGAAGAGGACAATAGCGAAGGAACATCAACCACACTTGAAGACGAAAGCAAGCCTGCTGATCTATCTGGACGATTACTACTGAAGTTTAAGGATAAATTGAAAGTTAGAGGTAGACCCAAACGTGCATTAAACAACTTTGCTCCTTCAATAAAACAAGTGTTGATAGAGCCACTAAAAAAAAA